CAATTAACCACTAGGAAGAATGTATACAATGTGTTAATTATTGAAACTGTCCTACCAGTTTGGTTTGAAACTGTCTCATTGCTATTTGTTTCTCAATAAATTTATGGAAAAAAAATTCAACTCATCTTTTTAAATTTGACTCATGAAAGCTTTCCTGGTTTCTTCTCTTCAGTCACTTATGAAACCTGTGCTAAATGTGTCCCTCAGGAGACCAGGATCCAGGATCTATGGGGCAGAGATGAGATAGTGAAAGAAGGGTGCTAGCAATACCATTCTTAGGGGCTGCTTCACCTGAAGGACACTCAGCTCTTTCAGGACAGCCGCCTCATCTCCATCTCAACATAGGACAGATGTCCAAGCTACCTTCCTGTCTCCTGGATCCTTCCATGCCAGTGGTTCTCAAATAGCTGCCACAAAAGAACCTTTCTTCTACACCTTTTCCGCTTACTTTATTATCCTTGTTAGGATCCCAACATGACTCCATAGAGCCCATGTAAGTGTTAAGAACTATTTTATACATTACCAGCATCTCCAGCCTCCTCACATCATGCTTATTATACTCCAGGCAGGATGTCCACAGGTTTTGGCAAGGATGTTTTCTGGCAAGTGAAATCCTTATCCCAAGATATTCTTTTCTTGCCTCTTCCCAAGTCAGATCTACTATTTCCTTCCCCTTGAAGGAAGTCTTCCTCTAAAGAACCTTATTCTACTTTCTGTGTTCAGCTTGTGGCCTATGATTTTGTTCTTCCTGGTGCTATCTGTACGGTATGACTTCTCTTGCCTTTTATGGCCCACATAGCATGTTGTGTACCCAACAGGTACTCAAAGAAGGTTTTTTTTTTTTTTTTTTTTTTTTAAATAATGATCTAATAACAAAACAGGTTTGAACTGTTCATGCACATGCTAGATATTGTGGGGACCTTCTTTCCTCCCTCCCTTCCATTTTTCTTCCTTCCTTCCCTATTTCCTGCTTCTTTCTCTTTGCTTGATTTGGTCAATAGACTATGAAAGTCAGTAGGTAGTGGTTGACTTGGTAGCACAATACATTGCTTTATCTACTCATCCCCTACTCACTAATGCAGATCCACTCATATAGCAAGCACAATACAGGCTCTTTTTTCAATGTGATCCTGGCTATGGCCATATAAGTCAACTGGAGTCTCCTCCTTAAAACTATACCTGTGTCTCCTGACTCTGTGCTCAAAAACTGAAATGATACATTCTAATTTTAAAAATACAATTTCTTCTAAGATTCTGTTTTCAACTACATAGTGTTAACTATTACATGTTTAAAGTTTTTAGTACTGTACTGTGTAAAATCTCAAGTGTATAAATCTAATGACATATGCTTCTAATGGTCTCACTAAAGGCAGTGAGACTGTACAACTCTCTTTTAAAAATAGAATTCAGGCAAATAAAGGCATTAAGTTATCCTAGTGGAATGGAAGATTTATTGTTTAAACTTTGAAAAGTCAGGAAATTCCAGAGTTGGATTCCAAGAGAGATATTTCTAGAAATTAACGTAGAAATACCTAATGTATATCAATGTTTGGTGCATTTTCTGCTTGGTACAATAATCCTATGGATTAAGTATGGGGATCACATTGCACAGACTTTGCAAAAAAGAGATCAATATTTAATGAATGATAGTTGAGTGAGTTTCAAAGGAGTGAAATAATTTTTACATGTTAAAAAAGCATTTGACATTACTAGCTAACAAACGCTATTATCTCTGTTACAAAAGAAGTGAAGAACAGGAAAATGAACTGACTTATGAGTCCAACATGTCCAGAGAAATCTTAACTTATTTCTTACTCCAAAGGTTGACTCCAATTTCAAAATTTCAGCATTTGTAAATTGTTGACCTAGTTCATGAGATTAAGAAACTGTGAGGAGAAGAAAGGCATTCAAAGGTAATTCCAAAACAAAGTTCCATAAAAATCTCACACAAAATAATTGCCAGGCAAGTTGAGGGTCTGAAGGCCTCGCCCAGCGATGGCACACTGTTGGAGCTTTTAATGACAGCAAACAGCTCGCTGTGGCACAGGTGCCCTTGGTTCGCCACCACTGGCCGAGCCTGAATCATTTCAGGCACTGGCAGCGCCAGATTTCTGTTCATAGCTGTAAGTCTCGCTTAGTCACTGTGCTCTCCACCTACTCGGGGATAGGAAGTCCTTGGAGTTCTATAAAATAATTCAGAGCAAAAGGATTCCCATATTCCTTTCTTTTCTTATTCCGTCTTATTCTAAATTTCAAAACAAAAAACCTTCCACGCGTAGTATCTCCTTTTCGCTGGGGTGAGATGTCATGGTGGATGATTCATATTTTCTCTGGAGATAGCACCTGCACGTTCCAGAGGTCAGCTTTACTCCTGTCTGTGAACACGTGGTTACATTTCAGTGTGCATCCTTCTGCTTTGACCACTTGCTCTAATTCTCTCTTTCCTGCACTGATTCACACATGCTCACACAGATTGGATGACGGGGTTGCGTCCTCCTTGTGAAGGTATTTTACAAACTCGCGTACCTGCCATTCACATTCTGCCAGTTGCATCCTCTCCCTTTCTTCACTTTCGTCTTTCTAGAGAGTGAACTCGCCTTCCATGACTAATGAAATCCGTAAGCAGTCTTCATGCTGATTCCACAGATTTTAATTTCCTAACATTTCCCTTTAGGCCCTTCCTAACATCCTCTTTTTAAAATGAAAATCCCTTCTCGGAGTTAGAGGTTTTACATGCCTCCTGTGGGAACTCCTCTGACAAGGCTCATATGCTTCAGGTGGTACATGCTCAGGCAAGAGCTGCATAGACAGTAAAGCAGAGGGCTCTGAGAACATTTCTATATAAAGGACCAGCGATATGCTGAGCACCTGCGGGGAGTGGTACACGAGGCAAGGATGAACGGATTAAGAGAGCTCTGAGATTCTTAGTATGACATTCTAGGGAAAAACAAGTAGAATGTAGCGTGGTACTATATAGGAGATAGCTGAAGAGGCACTAGCTCTGAGGCAACAGATGTGCGTAACCTTGGGCCAGTTACTTACCCTTATGTTCCTCAACGGTAAAAAAAGATGCTATCTCTGAAGGGTCACTGGGAGAATTCACTAGTGCAGTGGTGTATATTATGCATTCAATAAGTGGCATTTTATTATTAGTTGTTACTATTATTTTAAAAATGTAATAGCAGCACTTACTGTTAAGACCCTTGAGTCAGCTATATGAACTCTAGAAAGAATTTCTTTTTCTTTCTTTTATTTTGAGTCTGATATGTGTAACCACCTATTTCCCCTTGTGGGGGCGTGCTGGTCCTGAAAGTACCGCAATCCCGGGTCAGTTCATGGAGTGGTCAGAGCAAGCTCCTATTGTATCTCCCTTCTCCAAAAATCCATTTAATATGTTGTACTCAGATGGAGGATATATCAGATGTGAAACCGAACAAATGCTACGTTTGATTTCAGCTAAAGGCTAGGAGGTAATCTGGAATCATTTCTATTGTAGAAAATCTTGCAGAGATGCTTTTAGTGCACATGAGGTAGAAAGTGCTCCAGTTTATTGGTGAGCCTGAGACCAGCCTTTAGTGCCTTCTATCAAAAGAGCCTATTTTTACTATGAGGCAACTGAAGGAGTCTTTGCAGAACCCACTCTGGAGAGAGTTAAAGAAGATGGGTTTGCTCTTCTCAGTTCTACGACCATAGATAAAACAGTGAGAATATTTCTGTTTGACTCTTGGTCTTGGAATATATAGTGGAAACCACATAGAGTGGAATCTATCTTCTCAGCTTTTTTCACAAGGGCCAGGGGTCACAAAGGTTATGGCTTAAATCTAAAAATGTCCTTGCTAATATGAAGGTGAGTCTCAGAATACATAGTTGTGTCGTGGAGGAGCTGAAGTGAAAAGCCACCAGCATCACTGGGCAACCCTTGGAGACAGCCTCCAATCTAATTAGCTCTGATAAAGCATACCTAAAAAGATTTTTTTTCTTTTTCCAGCTTTATTGAGATTTTAGAACACTTTGATTGCCCTAAAAAGAAACTCAGCTCCTCAGCCATTATTCTCTGAGTTTCCCCACAACTTGCAGGTCTAGGCAATCACTAATCTACTTTCTGTGTCTGCACATTCACTTATTCTGACACTCCATGTAAATGGAATTATACACTACATGGTCCTTGGTGCTGTCTTCTTTTACTTAATACTACTATAATTCTTGTTCTCCTGCTTTTAAAGAGAATAAAAAATAATAAAAAACGGGGCCAGGGAGATAGCTCAGTAGAGTAAGCACCTGCCTGGCAAGTGCAGGGTCCTGAGCTTCAATCCCCAGTACCGCAAAACTAAAAAAAAATTTAAAAAAATAATAAAAAACATTAGAAATGTTTTCAGAATTTCAGAAAATTTTTTCAGAATTTCAGAAAACAAGATGGTAGGAATTCAACAGTGGTTGTTATTTTGTACATTGTTGTCTTCAAAGTAGTTGTGCAGATTACCAGATATAAGGATGCAAAGTCTGTCGTAATAAAATTGGTAAGCATTAACGACTTCCTTTGATAAACAAATAGAAATCAGTAGTACATTTATCCTACCTATCCTGGTATGTACATAGATATTTTCCTTCCTTCTTTTTTTCTTTTCCTCATGCAAGTTTTTCCTTTCCTTTGAACAATTTCTTTTACTTTCACAGTATCTATTGTACCTTCCAGATTTTATTTACTCCTTCAGGTTCTTACACTCCAGAGACCGTACAATGTTTACACATGTGGGTCTGATTTATTTTACTTATGGGCATAGTCTCTAGTTGCATCCATTTACCTATAAAAGCCTAAAGTTTAACTTTCTTTATAGCTGAGCAATACTCCATTGTATAAAAACACCACATCTTTTTTTATCCATTCCTCAGCTGGTGGGCGTTTGGTTTGTTTCCAAGATTTAGCTTTGACAAATTGTGCTGCTATAAACATAGGTGCCCATATCACTGTGGTATGTTGTTTTCAATTCTTCTGGAAAAATACCCAGAACAAGAATAGCTGGGTTGAATGGGATTTGAACCCACAAAACTCTAGTTTTTTGTGGAATCTCCACACTGATTTCTTAAAGACTGAGGTGTCCTAACTATTTGTCACAAAGGGAACTGTTAACCACAGCAATGTGTAGCCCTACTGTGAATTAATGCAGCACTTAAAAAAAATGAGGTGGCTCTCTATACGTTAAGATCTCCAAAATGTGCATATGAATATGAAATCGGGAAGAATATATATCCAAATAACGTGCAGGTGAGAGAGCCATAAGACTAGGAATAGAAGATACACACCCTATTAGTTAGAAGATATTGGTTTTTCAAGAATCATTATTCACATATCACTTTTATAACTGAAGATTAATTAAAAGGAAAAGACTCTGTGCAAGGAGGAAAGCGAGAGATTTCCTTGAGAAGCCCCAGAAGGAAGTAGCTCTAGGTACCCTGACACTGCAAAAGAGCTTGGAGCCATTCTGATACCAGAGTTAACTCCTTCTGTCCACTTCACTCAAAAATCGTTTGGGCAGGATTCAGGCCTGCAGCAAACCCCTTAAGGAAGGATGAGCCCTCTGTGCACTGGAGTCAGAAATAAGTACTACCTCATCGTAGGAGTTAGCCTGAGTTTTCTATTAAATTAACACTTAACAGTTTACCTCCAGCGCCACTCAGGCAGCGTGACTCGGGAATGTGTCATTTCATCTCGCTGATTCTTATTTGCACGAGATAACCTTGTACATCTGTTTGTTTTATATCAACTATATTTTGTATGCTTTTTAGTTTAGAACATTGTATTTGTCTTTGATGTTTGTTTCCAGTGAAATCTGATAATGAGTTAATATTCTTTTCTTTCACTAATTTTTGTATTTGTGAAAAATAACTTATAATTTTGTGCTGCAATCTATAAAAACTCTTGCTTTTTGTATTTTAGTACAGGGTCTGCAGGGTCTCACCACGTAGACTGACTCGTGGTGATACGCCTGTGTTCAGCCTCCCAAGAGCTGGGATTATAGGCATGTGCACCACGCCTGGCCACTGCATCTGCCTACGCAGGTGCTTTAATCCACTGAACTATTTTGCCAGCCCTATATAAACTCTTACCATGAGTACATTAGATACAATTTTTATACTTCTCCAGAACTCAGTGATATTCTTTTTACAATACAAAGTGGGCACATTTGAGACACTGAGACTGAACAGGAAGTATGAAAATACTTGTTAAAGAAAACAACCGAAAAAGGGAAAAATGTTAGCATATGTTAGCATATCATTAAGATCTAAGCATAACTGGAGAGGTCTGTGTTATGAAGTGGAAAGACAAAAAGCCAACTCTTTAGTGTCAACTATTAATAACAGAAATGATAGAACTTGAAAGAAGAAACAATACTAAAAAATGCCAATCATGGGTCATGATTATAATAACTCTATGAGTGGTGCTGACAGAGTTGCCCAGCATCTAAGTAATCAAAAAGCAAGGAAAAAATATTATTATTTATGCACCTTCTGGACCAAACCATATGGAACATTTGTTATTTATTTAAGACGAGGGGTTTCAAGAAGTCATTTACAATTTAAATCGAACGGTTAAAGGGAAATGGGAAGGACTATTGGGAGCTATCACCAGTGACACACTGTTAAGATCCAGGGAAGACAAGAAGGGCAAGAGCTCACTACCCCGGGACGGGATGGAAGTTCAGTTTCTAGATCCTCTGGAACCAATCTCGCCTCAGCAGTCTCCATAAAGATGAGCAGAGCCATTCTTAAAATGAAGAGCAGGGGCCTTTGCCTACCTTCCTTTTAACCTTCACTCTCTTCTGGGATAGCAGAGAAAAAAGGTGGGCAGACTCATTCGGCTGCAGCCAGTCATTTCGGGAGAGAAACTAAGCCAACAGGCTGAGCAACCTTTGAAGGAAGACTTTGGATAAGATTCTGGGTGTATGCAATTAATTAGGGGATGATTTGGAAGAGTTTATTCTTAGTAGTCTCTGATGTTGCTTAAGATCTAAGTATAACTGAACTTGTTCTGTAATAACTTCTATTTTTAAACATCATTTATTTGTTTGTTTATTTATTTATTTGGTTCAGGGTCTTGCTAAGCAGCTCAGACTCATAGTGATCCTCTTGTCTCAGCCTCCCCAGCACTGGGATTACAGGCATATGCCACCATTCCCAGTTTTGGTGACTGGCTCAGGGAACCTGGGGCTGGCACAGCATGCAGTACCAAGGATTGAACTCAGGTCCTTGTGCTTGCCAGGCAGGCACTTATGCCACCAAGCTATCTCCCCATCCCTCTGTAACAATTTTAGAAAGCATGTCTGCTAACTACTTACTTAGGGATACAATACAAGTTTTTTCTGAATGCTCATTTTCTGCAGAGCACCACCCTGCTCTTGTGGTAAATGGTGGATCTTAGATAGAAGAAAGCCACACTGGAGTGTTACAAAAAGAAAGATAAATAAAAATTCACTGGTCCTAACAGATGCCCAAATAAGTAAAGTCACTTGTCTGAAGTCAAATAGTGAATCTATAGTAGCAACAACCATAAGGATAAAAAAGGTTAATATTTGCTAAATGCTTACTATATGTCCAGCACTATACCAAGTACTACATATTGATTATTTCAATTAATCCTCAAAATAGCATTATATTGTAGATGCTGTTATTATTTCTATTTTATGGATAAAGTAATACAAGCTGAGAGAAAAGTAAATTGCTTACAGTCAGACTGTTAGTGCAAGGCTGAAAGTAGACCTTGTAGCCTCTGCTTCCAGGCTAACATTTCTCTAATAAAACATAATATTACATAATACCTGCCTTTCTTTCCCTAGGCCCTCCATGAGCACTGAACTCTTTAATTTATCATAGCTTCTGATTTGAGAACAGACTGCTTCGTCTTTTCTTGTCATTCGTCTGATAAAGCTGAGGAGTCATATTTGTAAATAACTACCTTTCAGAATTTCACCCAATTAGGATTTTCTTATGGTGGCACATAGTTCAGGTGTTTATTATTGGTAGTTAGATAAAAATTAAAACTGATTATGTTTTCAGGAGGAATGAGGTCCCTGCTTAATACCTTACTGGAACAAATATATAAGAAGAAAAAATAATCAACTTATGATACCACAGATAAAAGCTAGAGTAGGTTAAAACAATCAAGTGTCATGGAAGAGCACAAATCACCAGGGAAACAATAAAAATTCTGCCATATGAGGAAAAGGATTACATTTACCATAGGGAGAAGTGGAGGCTGGTGGGAGGGGGAGGGCCAAGTCTTCCAAAGCCCCTCAGCCACAGAGTGAAGTCAACTAAAGACCACAGAAATATAAAAAGCAACTCAATTTGGTTTAATATATACTTTTTTTGAGAAACAGAAAATGTTGGGTTCATCTGCTTTTTCAATTACTAACAGGAAACATGAAACTATTCAATAAATGAATGCACCAAAAACTGTAATAAAATTACTTCAGGCCC